AATTTAAAACTCAATGCCCCGACATACCCTCAAGTATCATACGTCCAGGCTATGACTGCGTTTGTCAAACGATGCCCCAACCAATCGGATTGTCGATTTTATTTCCGAGTCAGCCTGATGCACTTGTCCTCCGCCATTTTCTCGGTTCAATGTTCACAAACTGTAGTTTGCCGCTAGGGGGGGGGGCGAGAAATTTGCGCCAACAGGGTGGTCTGCGCTAAATTCTCAAATGGCCTGCGTGCGAGACATGTGCTGACTCACGCGCGAAAATGTAGGCACATTCTGCACGGACAGAAGATCACGACAGTCACCTGGTGCGCTAAACAAATGGACATGATTAAGAAACGTTAGAAACACCTGCGAAGTCAGCATATTGCACATTATTAACCTACATATAACTACGCAACTCAAACTAGAAACACTAGCAAATAAGAAAAGGGACCAGGGAAGCAAGAACATCCATAACGATCGACTCAGAGGCTCAGACCAGCACGGGCCCACTGGAGCAGGTCAGGATCTGGATGGCTAGACGAAAATGCTTGGGGATTGCGGGAGAGAGCGGGCATGAAAAAATGGGCCAGGCTACTCTCGCCGGCCAAGTCACCAAGTCGGGCAACCGCCGCGCGGCAGCACCCTGGAGCATCAACAACCTCTACAGGGGGTGCATCATTTAGGTCTATGTCGATGCCACGGCTCGGAGGGCCTGGATACCATCGACCTATGCTTTCGGCACGAGACATTGGTTGGCCAACGGAGTACACGGGTTTTGCATCATCGAATGTCACGAACTCTCGCGCAGTCATGGCCGGCCCATCAAGCCTCAACCGGCTAGTCAAGCGGGTTAATGACGTAACGTCTTCCATAGAGAGATCATGACAAGGCCCCTCAAAAATACGGTCAAGGCCCCAAGCCGCAAGCCATGATGCAGGAATTATCCCGGCACGCCTCCAACAGCGTCTTACAATGAGCGGATCCATCTGCATCCACACCCCGCTCACCCAAATGATAGCCGTGCATATATCAGGCCGTGTGGACTTCTTCTTTTCGACCGGGCCCTCAGCGACACCATCCTCCGTTGGGACACCCAATTCACCACCGTCTACAAGCGTTGCGGCTAAGCCTTCTAGCGCCCTCTGCCTAGCCGAAGACCGACGCCCCCTCCTCCTTGCAGTTGATGTGCAAACTGCTGAACCCACCGAGAGTGCGACCCCACCCCCTATATCCATATTCCTACCCCTAGTAGCCGAATTTCCGACGCCCATTTCCGTATTCCCGCCGCCCATAGCCGCATTCCCGCCTCCCATTGCCGCATTCTCGCCGCCCATAGCCACATTCTCGCTGCCCATTGCCGCATCCACGCCGCCCATTGCCGCATTCCCGCCGCCCATAGCCGCATTCCCACCGCCCATAGCCGAATTCCCGCCGCACATGTCTTGGCTGTAGGTGCCTTCATTATCCTTCCCAATCCTTATCTCGGATGTATCAAACTCTTTGATGAGCCAGTCAGCCAAGAGCTTACGGTACCTTTGTTTGAGCGTCAAGATAACCCCCTGGTCCAGCGGCTGAACGTGAGATGTGCAGCTGGGAGGGAGGTAGACGATGCGAACGTAGGGGATCTCAACGATCTTGATTCCCCTGAACTCGTTCTCCGTGATGTGCTCTATCGGACGTTCGACCTTGTGTGCACTGGCGTTGTCGACGAGGAGCATGACCCATCAGCGTTGCCATTGCATCCTTCCGCTAAAGCTGTCCAGCCATTGCAAAAGAACCAAAAAATCAAATGCCAGCTGAGACAATGACAATAAGCTCCCCAAGCAACAAGGACGCAAGGAACCCAGCACGTACCTCCGATGTCATCCAAGCTCGGGGGTTCGTTCGATACCATACGTACTCCTGCACGTGGAAGTCCGATCGAAATTATCACAGGCACAAATGCTTGCCGATGACAATGGGAGGCAAGAACTCGGACCCATCCACATTCACACATAGTCTGAGGGTGAATCGTTTCTTATCAAATTTCCCACCAGTAAGCGGTTCGGTACCATACAAGCGTCGGGGCTGCTGGCCCGAGAAGAATCCGGTTTCGTCCAGGCTGAATACGTCACAAGGAGAATCAGCATTCGGGTAGTTGCTCGTCAAGCATAGCCCCCGGGCGGGAGGCGTGCTTTGACGAAAACAAGGTTCCCAACCTCACAATCGAAAATGAAAAGGGATGGCAGGTGGTGGAAATGTTTACGTCTAAATTGTCCAGATCCCCGCATTCGCCTCTTGAAAAAGGTTTCGAAACTAGAAATTTAAAACTCAATGCCCCGACACCCTCAAATATTATGTGTTCAGGGCAACTAGCCTTCGATGGTGGGTTCCGTTCGGCGGTTCGTGTGTTTGTAGCCTGGATGCAACTGCGTTTGTCAAACGATGCCCCAACCAATCGGATTGACGATTTTATTACCAAGTCAGCCTGATACGCGTTGCATCTCAAGCCTGAACTTGAGTGCTGCTGAGCCGTGTGATGCGGCTGAGGATGCAAAACTGTGTGACAGAATAGAACGCACGCGAAATATTAAAGCCGCTGACCCAAAACGTACAAGATTAAGGGAACCCATGGTACCGCTCTGTAACGCTGCGAAAACATCTGCTCTAGTTCCGTGAAGTTGACTTGAAATGTAATGTAAGTACACGACTCCAACTTGAACCATACACTCCGATCTCATATGTAAGGAATTTTCCATTCCTTACCAAGCGATACTGCTATCGCGTATGCTCGAACACACCCGAAGCCTCGGGACGGTCCCGGACCTTTTTGACAGAACCGCCTCGGTTTCTCCATACCTTATAGTTCGACCTTCGGGAGTTCTCCGGGCCTTGCTTCGTTACTTCGAGACCCTTCGATCTCTTCGATCTCCCGAAACTTCACATCTCATGGTTAGACTAGCTCTGGTGTTCCTATATCTTGGCATGCCATTCCTTGTATCATTCTTTAGTGATTGAACACTTCGTTATTCATTTTCGCGCTACTCTGCTTGTTCATTCATAACACTTGGTATTTAGAGCCACTTTCCTCGCTCACCCGTTTTCGTGAGTTGATTTTTTTTTGGGGGGGGGGGGGGGGGGGGGGGGGAGTCCCTCATGTAAGCTGCAAAGCGGTTGCCCACGAATTAGACAGATTAATTCGCCCAACTACGATAGCGTTTGCATTTACCTGAGTACAGGCACACTACGGATTTCCCCTTGCCCCGGCAGAGCATTCGCCAAATGGACCAAGCTCAGTTCAACGAGCTTCGGGAGCAGTTCAACGCCATGAACACACGCATGGCTACAGTGATGGAGGACAACGAGCGACTTCGTGCAGAATTTGGCGAGTTACGCCAGGCGCGAGAGGATTTGCGCCAGAAAATTGCCGCCCAAGAGGAGGTCACCAGCACCGAACGTGTCAAAACCATTTTGGACGAAATCGCACGTGAGGTGTCTCAGGAGCGCAAAGACGACAAAGCCACCGCAGCAGCTGACATGGCAGCACGAGCAGCAGCCGAAGCAGCAGTAGCAGCAGCGACAGCAGCAGTTGCCAGATCAGAAGCAGCCGCTACTGTAACCGCACTGGCATTCGTGCCGATAGTGACAACAGCGACAATCAAACCAACAATGCCGCCCCTGTTCAAACCCACAGATAAGAATACTACTGTTACGGGCTGGTTATTTTCAGCGGAACTATATTTTGATGCCGCTGGGATCACCGCTGACGATTTAATAATTTGGCTGGTTGTATCACTATTGCGGGGACCTGCGCTAGATTGGTGGCGATATACAATACAAGAGGGGGAGCTTTCGGCAGACGGCACACAGGGGTTTTTCGGGAACTTTGGGTCTGCTGCCCAAGGGTCAACCGCGATTTTCGGATGGACCAAGATTCGCACGTGGAAGACGAGGGGTACAGCTCTGCATGAACGGTTCGAGCCAATATCCGCCTCGGATAACGCACGCACGAAGCTGGACAACTGGCGCCAGTGGAGTTCTATCCAAGATTACGCGTCGGTCCTCATGGCGTTATGCGACCAAATCACCGACATGCATGACTCCGAGAAGAAGGCTCGATTCATTTCGGGCCTGAAGTAGGACATTAAATGCGAGGTTCGACTGCGACTACCGGCGACGTTTCACAAAGCAGTCCAGATCGCAGACAATTTCGACGTGCATCGGACGTATGCGAGAGCGGGTTCCCGGGAGGGAAATCGTTTTCGCGGCCAGGATCCATGGCCCACGATTCACGGCGTAGTGGCAAAGGAGCACATGGAAGATTTTCACAAGGGACAATGTTTCAACTACCACCAGCCGGGTCACCAATCTCACAATTGCCGCCGAAAGAAGTAGATAAAGAAGAACGACGAAGGCAGGTCGGGAAACGCCAAGTGTCAATAGCGGTCGGGCCCGCTACTGACTCTGCCTCATTGCCCGAAAAATACCATCCCCACCGGGTAGTGGTTCCAATACATGCTATCAACCACTCACGGCTGAATAAGGGGGAGGACCTAGTGGACCACCCTGTGCTAGCGGAAGGACGACTCAATGGAAGAAATTTTAAAATATTCATCGACGGAAGTGCGAGTCACAGCTTGATAAATCGGGAGATAGCACGAAGACTACACTTATCGTTGGAGTGGTGTCTGCCCGAAATAGACGCACGACTGGTGGATGACACCCCGCTGGCGATACGCGACAGAGTACACGTCGTTCGGATGAAGTGTGGCGAAGATTTTGGTTTCAGCGCGCCGATGCTGGCGACAACCCTCAATGTACTATTGGGACGCGATTGGCTGCGAAGATTCAATCCGTAGATCGATTGGACGACAAGCAAGTGTACAGTGAATTGCGAAAAAGGTTGGCGAAAATTACCCACGTGGCCAGAAGCATAGACAACCGCGACTCAAGTCAACGCGGTGTGCCTCAAGCGAGTGGTCAAGAATGGAGCGGATTTACACGCCGTCCATCTAACCAAATCAACGGAGCAAAACGAGGCGACCGACATCAACAAACTCTGCGCTTCGGACCCGGATAACTTGGCAAAAATCATTCGGGAATATCCCGAGATATTCCCGGACGGCTGGCCAAGTGGACTGCCACCCGAACGACCCCAAGACCACAAAATCGAGATGGAGCCCGACGTGCAACCTACAGTACAAACTCAATGGTGCCTGACTCAGCCCGAGCTACGCGAATTATGGAACCAACTTGACTCCCTACTGGCAAAAGGGTTTATTCGGCCGAGCACGTCCCCGTTCGCAGCGCCGATCCTGTTCACCCCAAAGAAGGATGGCGAGCTTCGCATGTGTACGGACTATCGTGCCCTTAATCGGGTAACGATTGAATCACGCTATCCAATCCCACGCACGGACAAGCTGATTGACAACCTTCACGGAGCTCCCTATTTTTCGAAGATCGACCTTTGTGGCGGTTACCATCAAATTCGAGTGTTCGCTGACGACTGCCACAAGACCGCGTTTCGTGCTCGCTACGGGAGTTACGAATACACGGTGATGCCGTTTGGATTAACGAACGCCCCCTTGACATTCCAGCTCACCATGAACGGGGTATTCCGCGATCTACTCGACAAATGTGTGATAATTTACTAGGATGACATCCTGATTTACAGCAAGACCCGGGAGCAACATTTAAAAGACTTGGAAGCGGTTTTTCAGCGGCTGCAGCAGCATCGTCTCATCACCAAGGGCTCCAAGTGCGAATTTTTAAAATAAGAACTGGAGTTCCTAGGGCACGTGATCTCCACGGAGGGGATTCAAATAGACCCGAAAAAACTCCGGGCTATTTAGGAGTGGAAACCGCCAACAAATCTGCAGCAGCTACAATCATTTATGGGTTTTGTGAATTACGTGCGGCGGTTTATACCCAACATGGCGGGGTTAACTGGGCCTCTAACCGACCTACAGCAGAAGGGGATTTTGTACGAGTGGGGGGAGAAAAAGCAAGCTGCATTCGAGGCATTAAAAACTCTTTTAATGTCGCCACCAGTACTTCGCATCGCTGACCCGGAACAGCCCTTCGAAGTCATCACCGACGCAAGTGACATCGCCATCGGAGCTTTGCTCATGCAAGATTTCGGCAATGGTCTCCAACCAATCGTGTACGAGTCTCGGAAAATGCAATCGGCTGAGCGCAACTACCCGGTACACGACAAGGAGATGCTGGCGATTGTCCACGCACTCAAAATCTAGAGGTGCTACCTGACTGGCGTAGACGTGACGGTGCGAACCGACCATAAATCTCTACAATACCTGAGGGCGCAGCCGAATCTCAACTCGCGACAGATACGCTGGCTGGATTATCTGGAGTCCAACTTCACGTACAAGATCACGTACAAAAAAGGCACCAACAATATTGCTGACGCCCTCTCCAGACCGTCTGCCCAACTCGCAGCAGTACTAGTCATCCAGAGCAACCCGCTACTAAGTGGACTATTTACCCACGGGTATTCGACTGACCCCTTCGTCATAAATGACGGCCATCTCCCAATTACTACACGAAAAGGCGTTTACTACTTACGAAGCGGGACGGATCGAATTTGGGTCCCAAGTTATCGTCTACTTCGTAAATTACTAATTCTAGAAGTCCACGATTTGAATTTATCGGGACATTCCGGGGTAATTAATATCTGAAGGCCATGCAACAGTTTTATTACTGGCCAGATATGGTGACAGACGTGCAGCGTTACGTGGCCACGTGTCCGATCTTCCAGCGAATAAAATCATCACATCAGCGATCGACAGGACTGTTGCAGCCCCTCGAGCCACCTCAACGCCCATGGCAACACGTGACGATGGATTTCGTTCGTTACAGGTCTGCCGGCCGGATCCAGCAGAAACGACACAGTCTTGATTGTTGTAGACTGATTGACGAAAATGGCGCATTTCGCACCATGTTGTACAACCATCACAGCCGAAGAAACCGGGCGACTGTTCATCTCGACCGTTGTTCGCCTACACGGGATACTAGCAGCAATCATCAGCGATCGAGACCCGAAGTTCACGTCGAAATTTTGGCAGGACACGTGGGCTCGGTACGGCACACGCCTGCAATTCTCATCCGCTTATCATCCCCAAACGGACAGTCAGACAAACAGGACGAACCAGACGATGGAGCAGCTGATTCGGACAAACTGCCCCAACCGAAACAAATGGGAGGGCGCGCTTCCCATGTTGGAATTTTCCTACAACAATGCGCCCTCAGCTACGACTAATCACTCCCCACGGTACCTATCTCCGCCAACGTTGAGAGTCAAGTACCATGGTCGCAGCAGTTCGTCGACAAATTACAGACAGCCCGAGAAAAAGCTGTCAAACTTATTCGCAAGGCGAACGCTACTGCCCGACGGTATGCGGATTTACATCGACGGGATATTACAATGGTTGCAGGGCAACTAGTCCTTTTGGACACCAAGAACTTACGGCTGCCACTATCGACGAAATTATGACCACGTTCTTGTGGCCCATTCAAGATCATGATGATGGTGACGCCAGGGACCGCCCAGTTGCGCGTACCTGATGATTGGCGTATTCACAACAAGTTCCACGTGAGCCTGTTGCAATCCTTCGTACCTGACACATCGGACATCGCCCGACAGCGATTGGTCCCGGATGTACGGCCACCAGCAGAGACGACCATCGAGCCTTCGAAGATTTTGAGCCATAGGATTTGTATCGACGGACAAGGACGACACGTTGAATTTCTGATACGATGGACCGATGGTACCAGTGAGGACGACACGTGGGTGCCCTCGGACCAGATACAGTCACCTTTGATACTTGCAAATTATCTGGCCCGCAAGCACGTGGCTGATATAGATCACATTTGCTAATGGGGGGGGGGTGGTGTAAGAAATTTTCCATTCCTTACCGAGCGGTACTGCTATCGCGTATGCTCTAACACACCCGAAGCCTCGGGACGGTCTCGGACCTTTCTGACAGAACCGCCTCGGTTTCTCCAGACCTTCTAGTTCGACCTTCGGGAGTTCTCCGGGCCTCGTTTCATCACTTCAAGACCCTTCGATCTCTTTCCTGAACCTTCACATCTCATGATTAGACTAGCTCTGGTGTTCCTATATCTTGGCTTGCCATTCCTTGTATCGTCATTCAGTGATTGAACACTTCGTTATTCATTTCCGCGCTACTCTGCTAGTTCATTCATAACATGATACGTGTCTTATCTACACATGAAATTACTATGTCAATATAGCACATAATCCATTGTGTGTATCTTTCCCTATTTCGTCATCACAAGGGACGGAGTGGGCGAGCTCCCAAGGAGATGGCTTCTGTACTAGGCAATGCATTGGTGGGGTTGGAAAATGGGCATGAGAGATTGAAAATGGGTGGTGGGTGAGTGAAAGGGGGCGAAGGGAAAATAAAATGCGCGTGAGGGGACAGAGGCGAAGGAAGAGGGGAAGGGTAAAGCGAAGTTGAAGAATGGAAGAGTTTCATGATGGGTGTTTTATAGGCTAGTAGTGTGCACCCACCAGGTCATGGGTGTGTGACAGGACATGGGTGTGTGGCAGGACATGGGTGTGTGACAGGCCATGGGTGTGGGACAGGACTTGAAATTTAGTCATGGGAAATGTGAGCAATGAAGGACGTGCATGCGTGCATGTATGCACGGGCGTGTGTGCATATGTGCATAGGTTTGTGTGCAATCATGCAACTAGAGTTTCTAGTCTCGAGGCTGGTGAGGAAGACACGAAATTTGCAGAAGGACAACCTGATTCGATAGCAGGCACGACAAAGGAACCTGACTAAGGGTGAATCTGACAATGGGGATTCGACTGTGAATTCCTGAGATGGGAATCTGACAATGAGGTCAGTCATGGAACGTCGGCACTGGGAATTGTAAACGGGAATCTAAAATTGCAATTCTGACAATAGAGAACTGGCTACGGGGATTGGGGAATGAAGCGGGAACATGACATGAGTATATGCCATGGATAACTAACAACGAAAATCTGACAATGGGAATCATCTGGCTCAGAAATCTGACATAGAGTTCTGACAGTGAGAATCTGACAGTAAGAATTGAACAAAGGGGAATATATAGGATTCGGGTGCGGGAATCTCACAATGCAAGTCTGGCATTGAACGTAGTCAGCTGGAATCTGGGAAACAAAAATTGAAGTGAGAACCTGACCACGTGAATTGGACAATGGAATCCGGCTGTGGGTGAATGTGACAATGAGATTCTGACAAATGAATCTGATATGGAAATCTGACAACGGAAGTCTGACATGGAAAGTTGGCACTGAGAATTGGAAATGCGAATCTGGAAGCGGGAGTCTGAGATTGGAAATGACAATGGGAAGTAGATTATGCGTGCCTGACATGCAAAAATAATCTAACATGGGAATACGAGCACATATCTAACAACGGAAAATTGACCTGGGACTTGGGAATCTGACTCGGGGATCTGACCTGGGAATCTCACCTAAAAAATCTGACCTAGGAATCTGACCTGGAAAACTGACCAGGGAGTCTGGCTTGGGAACCTGAGTTGGAAAGCTGACTTAAGATTCTGACTAGAAAATCTGACTTGGGAATCTCGCCTGGATATCTCACCTCCGAATCTGACTCGGGAATCTGACTGATTTGGGAAACTGACAGACCTTGGAATCTGACTTGGGGATCTAACCTAGGAATCTGACCTAGGAATCTGACCTGGGAATGTGACCTGGGAATGTGACCTGGGAATCTGACTTGGGAATGTGACTGTAATCCAACTTGGGATTCTGACTTTGGAAATCTGACTTGGGAATCTCACCTTGAAATTTGACAGGACCTTTATGGGATCCTGATAAAGGGGAAGAAATTTTGGAGTGAGATTAATATGCTGATGGCAATACTTGGGAATCTGACCTGGAAATCTGGCTCAAGAATCTGACTTGGGAATCTGACTCAGGAATCTCACCTCGGAATCTCACCTCGGAATCTCACCTGGGAATCTGACCTGGAAATCTAACCTGGGAGTCTGACCAGGGTATCTGACTTGGGAATCTTTCTTGGGAATCTGACTCCGGAATATCACCTGGGAATTTCACCTGGGAATCTGACTTGGGAACCTGACATGGAAATCCGACCTGGGAATGTGACCTTGGGAATCTGTCCTGGGAATCTGACTTGGGAGTCTGACCCAGGAATCTCACCTGGGAATCTGACCTGGGAATCTGACCTGGAAATCTGACCTGGGAATCTGACTTGGGAATTTCACATGGGAATCTGACTTGGGGGAATCTGACTCGGGAAAATCACCTGCGAATCTCACGTGGAAATCTGACCTGGGAATGTGACCTTGGGAATCTGACCTGTGCAGCTGACCTGGAAATATGACCTGTGAAATTGACCTGGGAATCTGACTTGGGAATCTGACTCAGGAATCTCACCAGGGAATCTGACCTGGAAATCTGACCTGGAAGTCTGACTTGGGGGAATCTGAATCTGGAACATCACCTGCGAATTTCACATGGGAATGTGACCCGGGAATCTGACGTGGGAATGTGACCTTGGGAATCTGAACTGGGCAGCTGACCTGGGAATATGACCTGGGAATGTTACCTGGGAATCTGAATTGGGAATCCTACTGACCTGGGAAACTGACATGGGAATGTGACCTGAGAATCTGACCTGGGATTATGACCTGGGAATGTGACCTGGGAATCTGACTTGGGAATCCGACTGACCTGGAAAACTGACTGACTTGGGAATGTGACCTGGGAATGTGACCTGGGAATATGACTTGGGAATCTGACTTGGGATTCTGATCTGGGAATCTGACTGGGGAATCTGACCTGGGAATCTGACTCGGGAACCTGACTCGGGAATCGAACTGACTTGGGAATCTGACTTGGGCATCTGACCGGGGAACCTGACCTGGGAATCTGACTTGGGAATCAGACTTGGGAATCTGACTCGGGAATCTGACTTGGGAATCTGACCAGGGAACCTGACCTGGGAATCTGACTCGGGAATCTGACTTGGGAATCTGATTTGGGAATCTGACTGGGGAATCTGACTGGGGAACCTGACCTGGGAATCTGACTTGGGAATCTGGCTCCTGAATCTGACTTGGGAATCTGACTCCTGAATCTGACTTGGGAATCTGACTCCTGAATCTGACTTGGGAATCTGACTCGGGAATCTGACTTTGGAATCTGACTGGGGAACCTGACCTGGGAATCTGACTTGGGAATCAGACTCCTGAATCCGACTTGGGAATCAGACTTATGGGAATCTGACTTTGGAATCTGACTGGGGAACCTGACCTGGGAATCTGACTCGGGAATCGGACTGACATGGGAATCTGACTTGGGAATCTGACTTGGGAATCGGACTGACATGGGAATCTGACTTGGGAATCTGACTGGGGAATCTGACTTGGGAATCGGACTCCTGAATCTGACTTGGGAATCTGACTTGGGATTCTGATCTGGGAATCTGACTGGGGAATCTGACCTGGGAATCTGACTCGGGAACCTGACTCGGGAATCGAACTGACTTGGGAATCTGACTTGGGAATCTGACCAGGGAACCTGACCTGGGAATCTGACTTGGGAATCAGACTTGGGAATCTGACTCGGGAATCTGACTTGGGAATCTGACCAGGGAACCTGACCTGGGAATCTGACTCGGGAATCTGACTTGGGAATCTGATTTGGGAATCTGACTGGGGAATCTGACTGGGGAACCTGACCTGGGAATCTGACTTGGGAATCTGGCTCCTGAATCTGACTTGGGAATCTGACTCCTGAATCTGACTTGGGAATCTGACTCGGGAATCTGACTTTGGAATCTGACTGGGGAATCTGACCTGGGAATCTGACTCGGGAACCTGACTCGGGAATCGAACTGACTTGGGAATCTGACTTGGGAATCTGACCGGGGAACCTGACCTGGGAATCTGACTTGGGAATCAGACTTGGGAATCTGACTCGGGAATCTGACTTGGGAATCTGACCAGGGAACCTGACCTGGGAATCTGACTCGGGAATCTGACTTGGGAATCTGATTTGGGAATCTGACTGGGGAATCTGACTGGGGAACCTGACCTGGGAATCTGACTTGGGAATCTGGCTCCTGAATCTGACTTGGGAATCTGACTCCTGAATCTGACTTGGGAATCTGACTCGGGAATCTGACTTGGGAATCTGACCGGGGAACCTGACCTGGGAATCTGACTTGGGAATCAGACTTGGGAATCTGACTCGGAAATCTGACTTGGGAATCTGACC